TGAAATTTGGGATGACTGGGTCTCAGATTGGGAAGTGCTTCATTTTTTCTTTTACTTTTTAACACGCTTACAGAAAAGCCATCCTGGCTGTTTAAAAAAGTTCCAGTAATGTTACAATGTTAGTTAACATCACATGCTTTTTTGCACTTTTTATATGTTTGGAATGTTGTTTTGGTTTGCTTTTTTTAAATTAAAACAAAAGCAGAGCTTAGGCCATCATTTGGAGCTGGGTCATTTTGGTATTTAGAAAACAAAACTAACATAGCCAAGTTACTAATACTTGAAAATCAGCTACTGTATATACAGTAACTTTTTCATAAATTTTAATACCCAGAACCATATTTAATATCTATACAGCACTGTATTATAGAGTGACATAACAGAAAAGTTTGATCTATTTATTAACATTTCTATACTACAGATTGATGAGAGATACCTCAGAACTGCTCCAAAGTAGCTTATGTAATGTAACCAAGGTCAATTTTTCTTCAAAATCTAAATACATATTTTTAAAAAAATAGAATCTCTTAGCTAAATAGTACGCATTTTAAAAAAATCATTAGGGGCCAAATCTTCTCCCCAGACTTATAACAATTTTTTAAGGAAGGGTTCTGGCTTAATGGCTTGAGCCTGGCTTCTTCCGTCCACAAAACAATGTTAGAACCACTGTGTAACTACTGGTGCACTGTCCTTGCAGTGTGGAAGGGCAGCAGTGACTTGCTCATCTCTTCTGGAGCTGTATCAGATTCTGCCCTCACCTTGCACACAGCAGAACTATTTCAATTCCACTGTCAGCCTGGTCTCTCTGCCACCCCATATGTACAAGATTTCCCCTTTGAGGCATGTTGTCATGTTAAATTGTAAATTCCCAAACAGTTTGGGAGTTTTCTGTCATGCATTTAAGTTATTCCTGAGATGCATGGCCCAAGGACCCTCAAGCCCATCTTTATTTCCTTTTGATCACATTTATATAAAAGAGCTGTTTGCCTAACCACACAGCATGCTGAACTACTGCTAGGAATTTGACTGAAGCAGGTAGTAAGCATTGCAGCTGAGTCCCCATCATGAACTCTTCCTTTAAGATATAGAATAGTGCAGCTGGGATAGCCCTCTGTTTTGGGTTCTCAGACAGTGCACCTTGAACTGCAGGGTTTGGGCAAGATAAGTATGTTGACTTGCAGGAGGTGGGTAGCACAGAGCAGTTCACCTATAATGAGGAAGTAAAATTCTCCTCAGGTCAGGTGCTCACTCTTAGAAGTCACTGTCTTCAAATCAGGTGAGCTCTTTTTCCCTCTTGTTTCTGTGCCAAAACAAATCCCTGCATCCCTTCTATAATATGCCCAGCTGATGAGCACTTTTCAAGGAAGTGTATGCCATTTTGCTTTAAACACTGCTGTTCTGTTTACATTTTTCCTCCAGAAATGCTCCCATATACACAGCACAAACCTGAGAGAGCCCTTCTCATAGTCCCATGGCAAAAGTTGCAGGAACAAGATGTATGTTCCTTGGCATCTCTCAGGTCTCTGGCCTTCAGAGTATCCAGCATTACTTTTCTTTCTATTGAGAGCATTGCAGGGGTGGCAGAGACGCTGGCCCTGTAATGCCCTGGAGCCAGCATGCATGTGATAGAACCAGATTCCAGTTCTGAAGGCCCTTGATCATCCAGGAGAAGTGCCTCCCCCCGCTGTGTTCCCTTCTGCCAGTGAGTCTCCCTGTTCTCTCCCACATTAGTGCTGCTTCCCAGGGGCCTGATGCCATAGAGGAGAGTTAATGCTGCTGCTAGTGCTGTTATTTATTATTTACTCTGTGTGTTACTGTCGAATGTAGGAGCCCACAGCATGGATCAGGACCTCTTTGTGTTAGAAACCAGATAAGCACAGAACAGACTCACTGACTGCTGGCTTTTTGCACAGCAATCTGCTGTTACAGGAGGGCACTATGATGCAGTAGGTGGTAGCTCCCAGCCCTGCCTTGGCTGGCTTGTCTACCTAAGATCCTCTAGGGCTGTATAATGCACCATACACAACCTTTCAAAAGCACCTAGAAAGGGGAACCCTAGCCCAGACAACTGACACTCCCCTTTTTTCTTCCCCCACCATCATTATTCCCATCTGTACTGTAGAGAAATAGGCCCTGTACAATGTGCCAGCCGTTAACATGGCAAAGGCATGAGTAAGGAATGGGATTCTCTTGGTCATGTGAAGACGGAAGGACCTGGAACGATGTGCAATGAGTGACTTGCCTCTCACACCAGTGTCCCAAACCACCCTCCAAGTGGCAAGGATCAGTCCACTTTGCCTCCATACCTCTTGAAGCTGCCCATAGTGCCCTATTTATGGTTTGAATTTCATATCAGTATCAGAATATAAAAACAAAAGTCTGTAAATACTATATTTATTAATATTTAGAAAGCTGCCATCCCTTGAGCAATGGGAATTGACTTTCCCATGAAGATTTAAAAGAAAATTAGTCTTATTTATATGTATATTGACTATTATTTTATTAGACTTAAAGTTTTGTGCCTCTCAAGGTGAAACTTGGAGGCCTGCACTCTGTAGACATTTTTAAATTACTTTCTGTTTAAAAGAATGTGAGATTAGCACAGGGAGCTCATTTCCGGGTTTTAAATCTTTTATTTTTCTAACAGTGTTAATAAACCTAGGATTGTTTTAAGTGTATCATAGGAGACCCAAAGGGTTAAACAAAAAAAGAAGCAGCTGTTGACAGTGCAATGGTCTTGTATTTTGTATATGAACACAGTTGTTAAGAATTCAAAGCCAGCTCAGCCTTGCAAATAGCTGTGATGAAAATAGCAAGCAGGCCTTTTTTGCAGCCCTTTGTGTATAAACTCTAAACTTTCTAAACATTCATGGTGACAATATTGCTTATGGGTTTTTCATTAAGTCCTTTATTAAAAAAAACACATTAACTGGGGAAAATAAAATGCCTTTCCATCATAGCCTTTGTCTGTGTTAATTATTCATATGTAAACAATGGTAAAAGTCTTTCTATAAGTGCTTGTATAGTTTTGCAAAGGTCACATGGCTTTTTCTTTTGGCAAAGAAATGTGAATGAGACTGGATGAGTAACATCAGAGCACTTGCTGCATGAAAGGAAGGAAACATGACAAAGTATTCTTAGAATAGCAATAAAACTGTGTCATCTAAATCATTATGATTAGCATGCAGAAAAGGATTACCATTTCCAACCAAATCCCTTCTTTGATCAAAATGTTTCCATATCAAAAGCTAAAGATCTGTACATAATTTTGACTATTCCTATATGCATCATTTCTGAACTTTTCACACCCCACTGGCCTTTTTTGTGCTTATCTTCGATGTGCATTGTGTGAAAGGCACTAGGAAGCATTCAGAGATGACCAAGCAACCAATTGTTTTCTTCCCTCTTCAGCTCTAACTTTTCCTCTTAGTCACAATTTTATAGCCTGGTCCCATGGTTATTTATTGGATGCATGCTCTATAGTTAAAAAAAAAAAAAACAACAACAAAACTCCAGTTTTAAACTACCATGGTTTATGCCTTCATGCCTAAGCATATCTAGCAGTTCTGTGCACCTTTTCGGAATGTCTTCCTTATGATCTCAATCTCATTTGTTAAACAGTGACACCACATAGGGGGTAGGGAGCTGTACTTATGTATTCTAGTACTGCAGCATACAGATACTACCAGAAAATTACCTGTCATATCCATATTGAAAACATCATACTGATCTGTTTTTTGATTTGATATGTAAATACTTCAAGTTAATGAGGGGCTGGTGACTGTTGATTCTATGTAGTCTGTTATGATTTGGTGAATATGCTTTCAACCTGTCTGTTACACATGACTACAAACACATCCTAAGAAGAAAACAGCTGGAAAGTGGCACTGGACCAGTCCTATAAATTATAGAAATAGACCTTGATCCTCCTTTGGAGTGTAGCTTGTAAATAAAAGACAATTAGCATTGGCCTCATTACAGCATTATCAAGCCCTCCCTGAGGTGGGGAGACTTTGGAGCTAGATTTTTGGCTGTGTCTCACAGGAAATGTAGTCTGAAATGGGGTGAAAGGCTTGAGCTATGTAGGTTCATCGGGAACTGTGAAGAATGGGGGTGGAGAATACAAAGTCTGCTTGTATTCCCTGCATGGAGGGTATTCCCTGGGGGTTCCATAAATAGACAATGCTGAAGCCCTAGGTTCTGCCTTGGGTGAGTTACAGGAAGTCTGTGCTTCTATTTCCCAGTCTGTCAAATGGAGATAACAATGTGAACCACACTTAGTAAAGCACTTGGAAATCTATGAATGAAAAGCTGCAGTGTTATTGTAGCATTACCCTTTATTGCAAACTGTCTAGTTTTCTGTGTGAAACCCTATATCCAAAAAGACTAACAAATTAATGGAGCTCCATTTAATGAAAACTTAAAACCCTCACTTGCAAATTTAACAGCGAAGCCTAATTACTTATTTTTCCTGTGCTACAGCCATAGTTGAACCTCATTAGCTGTGGCTTGGAACTATTTTCAGTTACTTTTAAATGCTGGAATTGGGATAAGTAAAGTTCTCCCTCTTGGTGTTTTTATTTTTGATGGGCTGATATTGATAATACAGTCCTGGGAATTTGCAGCAGCTTTGGTAATAAACAGGCCACATGGCATGATCTGGTCTGTTTTAACCACCTTCACAGCCCTCCGTTCTAGGCCAGCCACCAATGGAAAGTAGAGCACTGTTAGGCCTTATTGCTCTGCTGCAGGGGTCTCTGCAGCAGCTGGAGATGACAAAGGTGGATAGACCTTGGCTAGTGGCCAATGTTATGCCATTGGAGAATTTCTGAGCGTGTTTTTCATTGGGCAGTTGGGGCTTTAAAGTAGTACAAAGCCACCTTAACAGACCAGAGATTCTGAACAGATTTCTAAAATATATTTTAGTTTATAAAACTTTTTAGATTTACAGTAAGACTCTCCT